AAGATAAACTAGATACATCTAAAGGCAATTGGAGGGAAGAGATGTAGTAGACACAGACATGAATTATGACTGACTTCTCATAAGAGGCAATGCAAGATAAAAAGATAATGCAATGACACATTTAAAGTGCCAAATAAAGCCCCTTTTAATCTAGAATTTCACACACAGTGAAAATATCCTTCAAACATAAGGACATTTTTCAGAAAAACTGAAGCTGAAGGAACCTGTCACTTGGAAGAACATATAAAGGAGATTTTCAGTTCAAGAGAAATGATAAAAAATTTGGATATATAGTGAGTGAAGAGTACCATAAACAGTACAAAATGATAAATATAGAAAAATATAAATTTCCTTATTTCTTTGAAAGGTGTTTGGCTATTTAAAACAAGCCCTGCATAAATACATAATAAACACATCAAAAGAGAGGAAGGTATAAATAAAAATATGTCATAAGACTTTAATATAAATGAAGATACATTAATTTCAGATAAATTCTGTTAAGAATGAATAGACAAAACTAGAGATAAAACAAAGAGGTATAGATAAAAGTCAAGAAAAGGAACAATATTAAATACTAAAAAGTACTTAATTATGAAGTAAAAGTACTCTATAAATGTTTAAGAGTTTTAAAAAAATCTTTCTACTTACTCCATATATTACAAATTTTGTTACAAATATATTACAAATTCATTGTCAGGAGGTAAATCAAAGATTAAGTAGTCAAACACATAGGGTAAGGTATTATAAAAATGTGTAAGCAAATCAGTTTATACTATTTTTTTTCTGAATTTTGTGAAAATTGTGGTAATTTGTCAGTCTTTAAATTTAAAAAAAAAAGTAAAATAAATCCTTTAAAATTTTTATATGTACAGTTTTATGAGCTTTGACAGAGGTGTATAATTGAGTAAGCATTACCAAAAGTAAGAGAAAGCATGCTCATCACCAGCTCCCCCCCATTTACCATAAGTCCCCATCTGTGTTACTGCTGGGCCACAGTCACCAATAACTACAATTTAAAAGAGGAAAGGTTTAGTTTGGCTCACAGTTTGTAGAGATTTCAAGCCATAGTTAGCTGGCTCCATGGCAGGGCAGCATGGACAGGGATGTGACAGAGGAGAGTCAGCTCACAGCATAGCAGCAGAAAGTGGAGAGTGTTCAAGGGAGAAGGAGGAAGATAGACCCTTCCAGGCCACTCCCCCAGTGACCACCTCCTCTCGCCAGGCTTCCCCTCCCAACATCACATTTAGCCATAAACTCATCAGTGGGCTAATCCACTGGTTAGTATCACATCCCATGATCCAATCCCTTCCCAAAAGCCAAACACCTATCAGCACATGAGGCTTTGGAGGGACATCTAGATATAAACCATAATATCACCCAACCCTGGCAACTATAGACCTGCTGTTCTTTCATCATAAGATTGATTCCCCTTTTCAAAAGTTCATCTAGATGAAAGAATAATGAATTTTTTGTTTGGTTTCTTTTGTTCAGCATGTTTTCTGACATTCATGTAAATGTATCTGTAGTTTGTTCATTTTATTTTGTTGGTAGTTTGGAGATTCCACTTTATTTATGGCAATTCACCTGTGGAAGGACATTGAATCATTTTCACTTTTTGGATCTTATGAATGAAGCTGCTAGGAATATACACAGGTAAGTCAGTTTGTGAACAAATATTTTCAGTTTTTTAGTTAAATATCTAGGAATTAAGTTGCTGGGTTCAACGGTGAGTGATTTTGTATGGAAAACTGCCAAATTATTTCATTGTTTTTTAAAAATTGCATATTGTTATGGCTTAGATCTAAAATTCCCCCAAAAGCCTCTGTCAGAGGTGGGACCTGGTTGGAAGGGACAGGCCTCTGAGTGTGACCTGGAATGGTGTATTCCTGCCCCAGCTTCTTCCTTCCCTCTCTACTTCCTGATACCATGTGCTGAATAGCTTTCTTCTGTCATATGATTTCTGCCTTGGAGCCAGCTGATAATGGACTGAAGCCACTGAAACGGTGAGCCAAAAAAACTTTTCCTGCTTTACATTCCTGGTGTCAGGTATTTTGTCACAGTGATGGAAAAGTGATTAATATACATTTCCTTAATGAAATCTTTTGAAGAGCAGGTTTTTCTTCTGATTAACTTCTCTGTATCATTTGTTTCTTTTATAGTGTGTGCCTATTATATCCTGTCTAAGAAGTATTTTGTTACCTGGAAGCAGCAAGAACGTTTTCCTATGCTTTCTTCTAAATGTTTCATATTTTCTTGTTTTGTGTTAGGACTATTACTCATTAGGAGTTAATTTTTGAGTGTGATGAAAGTTAAGGGGTAAGGTTCTGTCTTACCCACCTTAGTTAGATAACTGATCATTCCAGCAGTATTTGTTAACATGGTCATCCTTTCTCCCAATTACCTTGGATTAAGAAATATGTGGATCTGTTTGTAAATTCTCTAGTCGGTTCCATTCATCTATGTCTATATTTATACCAATGTTACTCTGCCATTATTACTATAGACTACAGCAAGTTGAGAAGTCATGTATCCTATATTCTTCAACTTTGTTTTTCTTTTTGAAAACTGTTTTGGCTATCCTATTGTTATGGTTTATGTCTGTGTGTCCCCCCAAAGCCTCATGCGGAAATGGGGCAGGCTGTTAGAGTTTAAATATGGGTGTGAGAGCTGCACCCGCCCGGGAGTGGATAGTTTGCATATGTAAGGGAGAGGAAGAAGCTGCTTGAGGCATTCCTCCCGGATTCCGCCATGGTGTGTGTGTGGTGGCAGCTTTGCTGTGCTGCCGCCCTGAGATACAGCCCTCTGCAATGTGCCACTCTGCCTTATAATCTTCCAAGTACGGATTGAAACTTCGACAAACTGTAAGCGAAATAAACCTTTCCTTCCTTAATTTTGGGTGTCAGGTATTTTGTACCAGCAGTGAGAAAAAAGTAACCAAGACACCTATATCTTTCATATTTTTATATAATTATATATATAATTTTATGTAACTATAAAGTCAGTTTGTTAATTTTTATTAAAAAGTCCTATTAAAATTTTGATATATAGATAAATTTGATTGAATCTATCCTTAAGTATAAATAATTTTTCTATTTTTATTGGCATCATATTTTTAAATTTTAATTTCTAATTTTTAATTATTTGTAAAGAGAACTATAATTAATTATTATACATTCGTAAGTATACTGTGAACTCACTAAATTAACAACTTAATTCTACTGACTTTTTCATATATTTCCAAAGATCGTGGCATCAGTAAATAAAGGCAGCTTGACCTCATAGTCTAGTATGTATGCCTTTTATTTATTTTTCATGTACTCTTTAGAACATCTGGTACAGTGCTGAAAAAGAGTGGTGACAGAACACAGAGAATGCTTGTCTTCTTTCCAATTTTAGAAAAAATGCATTTAATTTTTCACCATTACATATGAGCTCAGCAGTAATTAAGAAAATATACAATGTTTTACTAATACAGTTATCTTAATATTTAACTAATATACAATATCAAATTTTGTAAGTGTCAAGATTCATTTAATGTAGAATACAATGCTATTCTGTAATCAACAATGTGTGTGGAAATATCAAATGTATAGTCTATTTTCTATGTTTAAGAAAAAGACTAATATTGGATGACTTGTCATCAATCTGAGTTTCTATTTGCTTAAAAGAAAATAGCAGTTTCTTGCTATTATTATTGGAGACACATAACAAAGGCTATAAGATTCACTTTGGGTGTATTGCTAGTTATTGTTCAGCACTTTAATGATACTCAGATTAAAGAATTAGAATCCTGATCCATCAGTCTGTACCTCTTCACACACAAGGGCACTTGAATTCTAGGAGTTTATCCAAGGTCCTCAGGAGAAGAACCAACAAATTCTCTCCAGTACTGCGTTCATTTACCTGTGTTTCTCATAAAATATGTATACATTTTGTCTGCTATATCACAAATACATTTCTATACATTTCTATTACTTGAGGCAAGACAATTGTTTCTCTGTTTATGTTTCCAGAAAGAACCTAATTAACACCTGAAATTCAAGTCAAAAATAAATTAGTAATTTTACACTTCTGCCTCTGTTTGACAAAGGCATTAATGTGGTCTGTTCTTTTGCCCTCCTTGCTCTCTCCTACCCATTTCTCTAATACCCTTAACAGCCAATGTCAGTTTAATATGCAACTATAGAGCTGTCTTGCTGGTGGGAAAAGAAGAAATACTCCATTCATTAGTTTCACTGGAGAAATATCTTGGATTTAGAGAGAAACTATGTGAGCATGACACCATATGCCTGTGCTCTAAATGGATAGCCAGGCAGCTTTGGGAAATATATTATTCAGTATGGAAACTTTTATAATGATGAAACAAATGCCTAAAACACAGACAAGGAAAGAGCTGAGTATTTGTCAGCCTAATAAGGTCAGGATAGTTATTTGATAAATATTAAAATAGGCAAAATAGGCATTGCACAAATAAAGAAACCAAGGCATTTTTCATGTAGGCATTTTAGGATAGTTATTTGATAAATATTAAAATAGGCAAAATAGGCATTGCACAAATAAAGAAACCAAGGCATTTTATCTCATGGACACCATGAGATAAAAACCTCTCACTGTAGCATTTGTTGCCTTTGGGAACTTCCAGGACAAGTTACTGCCAGGGAGGAAGAGACTATGACCAAAGTGCCAGTCACCACCTCGTCTGTGTCCTTGTCCCCCAGAGGGCTAGCCACCCCAAGATGAAAGCCATCTCTGTCCGTCCTCTGCCTCTTGCTGTGTTGTACAATGCTATCACAGCTCCAAGTAGACAGAAAGAGAGAGCATGGTAATCAGCATGGGTTGTACAGCAGAACTGACTCTTGACAGTGAGATTCAAGTTTCCACGCTTCATGATGATGTCATAGTGCAGTGCTTGGCTCCAGGAATCACAGAAGATGAAATGTCATAAATTCCATTAATGTGACTTGAACATCATCAGTCACCCGGTATGGATTCCAAAATATTTAGGATTTCAGTCCCTGCTCAGGGAAAACAGACCTTTCTCAAATGTTTAGGGAAAGGAAGAATGCTGCAAAGGTGTGTTGGTAGGGTTCTGAACAAAGAAAAAGCCTTGCTATGCAGTGTTTTCCAACTCCTGTGATGTGAACACTCCCACCATGGCTGATTTTAAGTTACTGAGGTAGGATCAGTGTCCTGGCGTGAATTCGCATAGCAGCAGGTCCTCTGTGGCTTCACCACCACCCGGAGACAGCAGCTAAGAGCTCAAGAGCAGAGAAAGAGCATTAGGCTGCAGTGCAACTAGCAAGTGAAGTAGTGAAGTTTTAAGTATTTGTTACTTTTGCTTCCAATGTTAGAAATATAAAGGTAAAGATCTTGTGTGCAAAGAATCTGATTATTCACCTGAAACACTGAATAGATTTTGTCTTGCTAGCTGTTTCTCACCTGTGTCTTGTAGCTTTTTCTTTGTTACACATCAGCTGCTCTGTTTTCAAAGGGTTTTAATGCAGTGTTTTGGCTTTTAATTTTGTTGTTTCCTTCAGCTGTTCTGTTCTGATTCACTTTGTGACATTAATGCCTTAGATAGTTTTAAAGACTAACATTCTTTTTTATTTTAAAGAGAAGAAGAAAAATAGAAATAAAATAAAACAGAGTTTTATATCAGGCTAATAGGAAAGTAACAATAGTTAATACATTGTATATTGTTATCTTCATAGTAGGTAACTCAGAGTACAAGATATAGGCATGAAATATTGTCCAGATAATATTAACACCAACATTTCTTTTCAATGAATTAAGAGAAACTAACTGTATAACTATTTTAACTATCCTGTGTGTATATATATTTTTTCTTTTTCTTTTCCTTCCTTTCTGCCATCAGTTCCTCTTTTCTTTTCAACAGTTTCTTTCCAATTCACAATATCTATTGTACATTTTGGATCTTATTTACTCTTTCAGCTTCTCACACTAGTGAGACAATATGATGTTTATACATATGGGTCTGATTTATTTCACTTGTGAGTATGATCTCTAGTTGCATCCATTTACCTATAAAAGTCTCAGATTTATCCTATTTATGACTGAGTAGCACTCCATTATATTAAAGAACACATCTTTTTTATCCATTCCTCGATTGATGGTCATTTGGATTGTTTCCAAGGTTTAGCTATTGCAAATTGTGCTGCTATAAACATAGATGCACATATATCACTGAGGTATGATGTTTTTAATTTCTCTGGGAAGATACCCAGAAGGGGAATAACTGGATTGAATGAGACCTCTAGTCCTAGTTTTTTGAGGACTCTGTATATAGATTTCCACAGTGGTTGCACCAGTGTACACTCCCACCAAGAGTGGAGGATTCCTTTTTCCCTATAGTCCCACCAACATTTATTATTGGTTGATTCATTGATGGTAGCCATTCCTTCAGGAGTGAGATGGAATCTCACTGTTGTTTTAATTTGCATCTCTTGAATGACCAGTGATGTTGAACATTTTTTCATATATTTATTTGCCATTTGTTTTTCTTCATCTGAGAAGTGTATAATTCATCTCAGATGCTGATTTTTAGATTGAGTCTTTGCATTTGGGAGGCCTGATTTGTTTCAATTCTTTACATTGAATTTCATTCTAGATGTAACCAAATTCAGTAGTTTGGCTGAATACAAAGTCAACACTGAAAAATCAGTAGCATTCCTGTACACAAATAACTCACTGAGAGAGAAATTAGGGAAACCACACCCTTTACAATGGCATCCCCAAAAATGAAATAGTTAGGAATCAATTTAAAAGGAAGTAAAAGAGCTCTACATTGAAAATTACAGTACTCTGAAAAAGGAGATTGAAGAAGCTATCAGAAAACGAAAAGATAACCCCTGCTTATGAATAGGAGGAAACAATATAGTGAAAATGGTTCTACTCCCAAAACTGCTATACAGATTTAATGCAATCCCAATCAAAATACCATTAGCATACCTCACAGAACTAGAGAAAACATTCCTAAAATTCATCTGGAACAAGAAGAAACTTAGAATAGCAAAAGCAATCCCAGACAGCAAAGGAAAGGCAGGGGGCATCACAAAACTCGACCTGAAATTATACTACAAAGCATCAAAAACTGGGGTTCACCTTATTAAAAAGCTTTTGCACAACAAAAGAAATCACCAACAGAGTGAAAAGACAATCCACAGAGTGGGAAAAAATTATAGTCCTTTGTCCCTCAGACAAAGACTGACACTCTATTGGTGAAATATTTACCAAATAAGATTTTTGTCCAAATGGAATTCTGAGCAGACTAAATGTCATTATTTCCTACTGTTTTCTTATAATACCAAGGTATAGTGTTCTGCTGATTTATCCTCCTGTATCAATTTGTTTACTAATGTAACTTTGAAATATATAAAATTTTCAATTTCCAATAAATGACAAACACAAATTTGAGGCATTTTAAATGTTTTGCTTATTATATAAAAAAGCAATTTGAAAGTGGTCTTAATGTAACCTTGAATTTCACTGTTATTTTATTCTATGCAAAATAATTTAATACAATATTCTATGCATTAGATTTACAGTTTTGTTTTATAAAAATGCGAGAATCACTGTGAAGAAATATTCTGTGAATAATTCATGGTGATAATTTATCAGATACAGAGAGATAATAAATAGCTAAATGAGTCTTTTTCTTCTTGAAAAATGTAACCTGGATTCTTTCATGTGTTCTTATCTACACTCTATGCCTTATTTAGAAATAATATAAAACTAGTATTTTTAGTAGTCTCTGTGCTTTTCCAAATCACTGCTTGTTCAGTTCCACTCATCTATCCATCCATCCATCCATCCATCCATCCATCCATCCATCTATCCATCCATCCACTTAACAAATAGTACCTACTGTGTGCAAGGCCCTTATCTCCTGTAGTGAAATGCTGACAGAGATCAGGGCTTAATAGAATCACAGGTCCCTGACAACAAATATTCATAGCCAAAGCAGATGTGTCACATTTTTTACATTCATTTTCCCTGATTGGAAAACTGGGACCTGAAACAGGAATGAGGACATCCGGGTGGATGCTCTTGAGGAATCTGGCTCTCTAGTCTTCCTGAAGCCTCAGAGCTGCAGGGCCAGCACACCTTGCCCTATTGAGAGCTGTGTTTCTCTGTGCAGGGAGACATTTTGGACTTCCTCTCAGCATGCAGATGAGTGCTCCCCTTAAGAGCTCTCCATCTCTTCTGCTGACTCCTGGGTGGATAAGTAGGTTAAATCCCAGTGTGACCCTGGTGGAGAAATGCTGGGTCTGATAAGGGGGGAAATTATGTTCCTAAGGAATGACCAGAATTAGCTAGCTTGTTCCAACACAACCCAAGGGAGCACTCCTAGGACTGGATTTGAGAGTAATTTGCATAGGGGTGCTGGAATGTCAGACTGTATAAACAAAGATTTGTTGGCTTAGGGGTATTTGCTTGAGACACAGCATTTGACGTCCTGGCGAGGAGACCAAAAATAAGATGGGGCTCACTTGCTGCCCAGTGAGATAGTCACCCATACTGAGTGAAGTTGAAATGCCTGAATCATTGTGGCAACTGTTAAAGGAAGAAATTAAGATTTAGGGAAGACTTATCTACGCTGGAATGGATAAATTAAAGATGTCCTATGGCAAGATCTAGAGAACAAACCATTTACTAAGGCCATCAGGAATGTATTAGTGACAGGGTCACTGGCATTCCTAAGATGTTCCGTGGTGGCTCTCCTCAGTGGGTAAGGGCTGTTGGTGTAGGAGGCTTTTAAATAATCTGGCTCACTGTCAGCAATGTGGGTGATAGCACTGTGGAATAATATAGATCTAGAGTAGCAACTTTTCCTCTTGAAACTTGGCAGACTTCTCTCTGCGTCTCTCTGTCTCTGCTCTGTCTATCTTCTGTCTCTCTGTCTCTGTCTCTCTGCCTCTCTGTCTCTGTCTCTGTTCCTGACTGTCTGTCTTTCTCTCTCTCTCCCTCTCTGTGTTTGGGGGTGTTTCAGTGATCATAAATAATGGAATGGCAGCCAATTGGACCCACCTAACCCACAGGAAGTTTTACAGATGATTAATAGAATACAATATCCTTAGAGGCAAAATGGATATGTAGCAAATAAAGGCATTACTTAATTTGTACTATTAATTGAAATTAAGGATGAATGACTGGCAGGCTGAGGACCAGTTTTGCAGTAAGAACTCACAAAATCTTTTCTCAGTTCTCCATTTTAGGACAATTTTCTCACCTGGAATTAATTGAATACTGGGTGTCCCAGAAGAAGAATCTTGCAACACCACAGTAGGTATATGCTCCATTGATTCCCCTAGTTCTTCTCCAAAGGAACCTATAATTATTTACTAGGGTAATTGTACACTGGGGAAAGAGTAATACACACAGATCTATTTTTTTGTTTTTCTATTTTAAAGAGAGTAGTAATAAAAAGGTGTAATAGCAAAATACCAACAACATAGACAAAAACAAAACAAAGCAAAAGCAATAAGATTGATATAGGGGCTGAGCCCCATACATCTTCAGGAAGCCTGGTGAGTCTGGGCTCTGCCTCGCTGACCAGCGTGCAAGGCAGGTGAAACATCGGGCACCCTCTGGGGCCTCTGTGGCTACCCACCACACCCGTAGTGTGTGGGCCCGGGCTGGGCTGAACCACAGACATCTTCAGAAAGCCCGGTGAGTCACAGCTTTGCATCCCTGACCAGCGTGCAAGACAGGTGAAACCTCGGGCACCCTCTGGGGCCTAGGAGGCTCCCTGCCACACCCATAGTGTGTCTTCCAGGGCTGGGCCAAACGTGACACCTTTAGGAACCCAGTGAGCTACTCTGAAGCCTCCCCTACTAGGGTGTGAGGCAAGTGGATCCCTGGACAACTTCTGGGGCCTTGGTGGTCACTGCCAAAACAACTCACACCCCCCTGGTAGCTCAGCTGAAACCTGAACATAGTCAGCTGCCTGGGGAGCTCACTCTCACCCCTCCCCTTCCAGTGTGGGAAGCAGGCTCTGTCCTGGGCAATATCTGAAGCCTATGTGAACTCTGCCTGCATCCCGCCCCCCACTCTTGTGGAAGCTGGGCCAGACCCCATACAGTCTCAGGAATGCCGGCGAGCCTCCCCTGCCCTTCCCATACACTTCTGGGAGCCAACTGAATGCAAGAAAGGTCGGGAGCATCTGGGACCCCCATCTTGCCACAACTCACCAGCACAAGAGCTACACTGAATACTGGGAATCTTCAGACTCTCACCCTGCCACTCACACACAATCAGGACAGTGAGACTGCACTACAGGGAGTCTCTGGTTCTTCAAAAATGACAAAATG